TTTATTTAGCTAAGGCAAAAGTATTATTTTCTTTAAGTGTAAAAGCTAAAAACAAGCATTTTCTGTTGGTCGAAAGACTAATTCTGTTATGTTAAAGCCAAAATTTGGCCGAAGATAAAAATAACTTCGTATTCTTGTATTAATAAGAATTTTAGTTTCAGTGCCGCCAGCTTGGCGAAGAATGAGTAAAGTAAAAATTTATTTTCTCTTATTCATTTTATGGTAAATTGTAAAAAGCATATGTATTAAAATTTTGTAAATGTACGTAAATACTTGAATGTTATGTAAAAGTAGAATTTAGTCTAGAAGCATAAAATTGTAGATGCTAAAAGTGAATGCTTAAAAGCAATGAAGTCAAAATTTAAGTATTAAACTGTAGATAAAGTCATGCTTTAGAGCGAAAGCCTGCATGTTTAAAGATGAATGAGGGGGAAGTTAGAATGAATGTGTTTTGTAGGGTTCTCCACCTACATTTGAATTTTTAAGAATATTAAAGTAGCTCATTGAGTTGTAGAATGTCGAGTAAGGTGTGTCTATTTGGTCGTTGAATTCTAACAAATCATGGTGGTTAGGGGAAGTGTTGTAAGACTAAAACACGAATATTCCCGTTTGACACCACACACGGTGGAGAGCCAGGGTAAAGTTAAATTAATGCTTGAAAAATTGAATGAATGTGAAGTAAGCAATAACTAAGAAAAACGAATCGTTTAAAAACAAAAATTTATTGTGTCAAGAAAGTGTAAATTATAATGTATGTAGAAAGATACTGATACTTATTCCTTCCAGATGCTGGAAGGAAAGACCAAGATTGATTGATGAAGTCCAGGAAAAGTTGCTGTAAGAAGAGAGCTTTATAACGATCAACAGAATTTTAGTATACAAATTGTTACATAAGATTTTTTTTTGTGTAAACGAGGTTCTCGCCAGTTAGTTCAGAATTAGAGAAACTTACAACAGGTCGTTTGTAGGACCTGCTTCCAAGTTTTCCAAATTCTGGCAGCGGCAAATGTAGGGTTTATATTTATTTTAACTAACATTTATTTTAAGTTTAAACTATCTTTCCTGTCAAGCCTTACTTTCCCCTGGAACTGCCAATGCCAGAATATGTAAATTTTTTAGTAGAACGCGCAAGGATTCAAATTATCAGCGGAAGTATTATGATTTAAATAGAAGGAAACGAGTTCGGTGTGAGATATTCTTACTTCACGAGCGCGGAGGTAGTTAGCGAGAAATTGAAGAACCCCGCGTTTCGGCCTATGTGCTTGGCGGGAAGTAGTGTTAATCGTTCCAGTGAGCTTCAAGTCTGCTGAATTAGCAGCGGTATTGTAAAACGCGGTGAGTTAGTTATTTTAGAGAGCCTCGTAGTTAGAATCTTGTCTTTACTTTCTTTTCAGGTTATTATTTTTATTTGACTGCCGAGTTGGCACAGTCTGTAAGCGTCAAGAGCACGCAATTGTAATTTATTACGTTGAATAAAAAGGGACTTAAACCCTTACAAGACTCTGTTTATACAAGTTTTCACAGTCACCTCTTGGTTGCGTGCAAGTTGGAGGCGCGCACTTTAAATTGTGGTTTTAAATTTTGTCTAACTTCTTAAAAAAAAAAAAAAAAAAAAAAAAAAGCAATTTTTTTTTTTTTCGTTCATATTTTCGTTTGTTTATTTTCTTTCTTAATTCTATAAACAGACATAATTTCTTGTTCAGTTACAAAGTTCCGCTGTTCAAGTCCCGTAATTGCTGTGCCGGGAATACCGACTAACTTGTCAATCGAAATTTTTTCGTTTTCACTAACCTCTCTGTCACCTTCTTCATGTCTTTATCCATTTTTTGCAGCAATTCCACTTTTTGTTTGACAGACATCGAAACATACTTTCGTTTTGTAGATCCTTTGGGAGCTCCAGCATTGGAAATTCTATTTGACATAATCGAAAGTTCAAGTTTACTTTTATAAAACTGCTCTTACAGTCTGCAAAAAATAATAAGCCGCATCCAATTCGAAGATTAAGGAACAACACAATCATCAACATTAACTGAAATAGATAATTAGATAATTTTAGCTTATACTGTCCGTTATACATTAAACGGCACGCGAAAACGTATTCTGCGCTTGCGCACACGCATACGTGCAGTCATAAAGGTCTTATGCACACGCGTAAACGCCTATTCGCATGTGTCAACGCGGCACATGCGCAGAAAGTTTTTAGCTTTGAGGTCCGGATTATAGATCATTCCAGATTATGGGTGTCCGAATTAACGACTTTTGACTGTACATTCAAGGGCATTTCTTAGTTTATGTATCTCGGCACTATTATCTCTAATGTCAACAATATTAAACTTGAAATTGACAATAGATTATTTAGAGCTAATAGATGTTATCATGGTTTAAAGAATTTGTTAAACTGAAATTATTAAATTTCAAGACAAAAATGAATCCTTATAAAACTCGTATTAGACCTATTGTATGGCATGATAGTGAATGCTGGCCATTAACAAAAACAGATAAAGAAAGACTTCTAATCTTTAAAATAAAAGTACTGTGAAAAATATATGGTCCAGTTAGAGAAAATAATAGATGGAGAATTTTGTTTAATCTTGAAATATATAGAAGATACCAACAACCTAGTCTGAGTCATCAAATTTTATCATATCATGTGGCTTTTACATATTTTTAGATGTGACAATTTGAACCTTGGAGGAAGCTTATTGAGATGGCCTTGGCCTGTGAAAGTCTGTAGTGCAATTGAAGAATTCTTCACAATGAGATATAAGTGCATTTTTAGTTTCTAATCCATGAAGTTTTCTCATGCATTTTACTCTTCCCAAGGAAACTGAATCATTCATTTTGCATCTAGTACCAATATCATTTTGACTAACTGCTAAATAAAATGTGGTATTATTTTGTATTTATAGTTTTTTCAGATGACTTTGGTATTTCTGTTCATAGTTTTCCAGATTATTTTTGCCACTTTTAAAGAGTAGTATAGCCACTTTTAAAAAGTAGTATAGTGTTCATAATGCATGGACAGTTCTTCTGTCAGCAAACATTTGACAGTTCTTTCTAGTCAAAAGTTTTAGAGAAATCCCTGTATATTTAGAATGTCTGCTACATTTTGCAGACTGAGTTAGTCATACCCATTTACTTTTTGTGTTGTATTTTAAACTATGTGATTAATTTTATTGAAGATGATATCAGAGGAGATTCAGAATCATTGGTCTATGAGTCTTTGAAACCAAGCAGCTTTAATGACACATTACTAGAGTCCTACATTTATCTTGAAATTACATATTTTGTAATGTCTAGTAAAGACAATATTGGAGAGGTTATTGCTTCTGTAGTGTCAAATCGTGTTGTCTCACAAACACCTCTTAATGGTTCAACTATTTCGTGTTCAGTATTTAGATTATAGTTTATGAGGTGACTACATTTTTCTTATTTTGATGTGATTTGCCACAAAGCTATGTATGTTATTAATTAAATTTTTTATTTTAGAATAATGCATAAAAATAATTTTTAAGGCATGGTCTTGCATATTACACTCTAAAATAAGAAAAGTGATACACCAAGAAGTTATCCAAGTGGGACAGAAATCATAGATGTGGTGTTCATGCATTGAAAATGAAATGGGAATAGTGTCATAAGAATTGAATGTTTTATTTAGGAAATACAGCTACAAGAGCAGGAAAAAAATTCAATAATGCAATGGCTACCTCTGGCCTTTGCCCTGCCCTTGTTATCCGATTAGACATTGACTCGTAAAGTTGGTAAATGTCCTTCTGTGAAATTATTTGCTATAAATGTTCTAACTGACGAGTTAGAAGGGCATGATCCAGGGATGGTCAGAGAGACCTATTCACCAGAACCCAAATGTACTCTGTTGGGTAGAGATCTGGTGATCATGCTGATCAGAGAAGTGTTGGAGAAGCACAAAGACATGCAGTAGAAGATGCTTGTGTAACCTGGCATTATCCTGTTGATATGTAAGCTGAGGGGCCCTTGAAAGGAAGGCTACACTATGGAGTATAAAATCTCATAGACATACTGTAAGAGTATCATGAATGACAATCAGAGGAATCCAGTTATCAAATGAAATGTCACACCATACCATAACTCTTGATAATCAGGCTGTGGAGCAAAGACTAGTAAGGTGAGTATTCCATAGCTGTCTTGGACATCTCTGGACATGTTTTCTTAGGTCATCGAGGATCAATTTGAAGTGAGACTCCTCACTGAAAACAGTTCTCTTCCATCCCAGGTGGACATAACTGCAGACATGTCTGACAGTGTGCAACAGTGAGGGGCAGTCAGTGCAGTGGCCTCATAATCACAGCCTCCCTTTTACTGAACTGCTTTTCAATGGCCGTTGCAGTCACTGGTGTTCTGCTTACACATTGGGTTGTTGATGATGATGCATGAAGGGCTGTTAGCATGAATCAAATTATCACTTTGTTCTCACTTTCTGTCTTCACTCTTGATCGACTACTACCATCTTGACACTCTGTATGGTTATGGTTCACTCATTCCTGCCAACATTGTCGAATGGTAGCATCACTCTGACCCAAATGTCTAGAGATTCTACAATTTGACCTTCCTTCTTCCTTTAGCTAATTGCATGTCTTCTCTCAAATGTTGCATCTGCTCGTATTGTATGCAAGGCATTGGTACAGTCCACATGGATTGACAGAACCACATTTGCATGGAAGTTGTGCTCTATTGGAAAGTTTTCTGTTTTATACACCATCAGGATGCTCCACAGAGATGCACTGGGTCTCCAGCTAGTCAGCCATTGGTCGTCAAAAGTTAATCATTTTCATAAGGTATGAACATATGCAATTTTATCTCATTCGGATTCTTGGTGCATTACTTTTTATGTGTTATAGAGTGTACATGCATATTTAATAATTAATTTTAATTTTTAATTCTTTTCTTACCTCGTATCTTTTTTGAAAATGTATGAAATATTTATTTTATTTTTGAAAAATCTCATTTTTTATATTTTGCAGTTGGAATTTATGCTGAACCCTCTGGCTTTTTAATCTCTCTTTTGGAAGGACAAAAAGGTGGAGTTACACAGCTGCAATTTTCTCCAGATGGTTTGCTGTTGTACAGTGGTGGCAGAAAAGTGAGTGAGAAATTTATTTATAAGTGTACAGTGGATATAATGTTAAAAATTTGTTTAAAAGAAAATCATATTTTTGGATATTATTATTATTTTGTGTGTGTGTGTGTGTGTGTAAATTCAGTCTCTAAGGTTCTTTCAAAATAAAAAAGTACTTGAAAAGTCTCTTTTGGGGAGGGGTCAATAGTAAAGCTAAATAGGTTTCTTTTGAATATTATTTTCAGTTAAGGAACATTCAAATCAGGTAAATTCTTGTAATTAACAATGATAACAAATTATTGAAGCACTTCTTTGACAACAGATTATCATAACATTTTTTAGTAATTTATTACGATACTATTACCATATTTATTTTACTTGTAAAGTAATGGCATATTTTCAAATTTCTGTTGTCCATGAAGGAGATACTTTAATTTAATACAGTACAAAGTCTAAAATCTAGATGTCCAATATCTCGGATAATTTGGACCTTCTGATTACCAGCAACCCCCCTTTTTTTGTTGCTTTAAGCTTCTGCATTTTGTTTCTTAACAAAATATGTGGAAAGTCTCAATTCTTAAATTTCATTTTGGCACTGATGCTAGCCTGACAGTTCGTGATTTATTATTTTTTGCTTTCCTCATTGCATGACTATCAGCTCAATGCAACTTGAAAAATGACTCGAGACTCGTGAAAAATGTCTAAATTTCTTCTTCTTCTTCTTCTTTTCTTTCTTTCTTTTTTCTTTTTTTTTTTTTTACTTTTAATGAGAGCATGGAACTTTTTATGTTTGGTGATCATTACAGACTTCAACTAATTTTTCTGTGAAGGGTTGAGTGTGTTGACGAAGATAAATTTTACAGAATTTTTTTCCCATGTGCAAAAAAATAGGTTTTGTAAATGATACTCATAACCCCAGTACTTGTACCAGATTAGAATTTGGGGAAGGCAAAATATTTAGAATTTAGAAAAGCACTGAACAACAAAATTAAGGGAGAGGAAAATCTTTAGAATTTAGGGAAGGCAGTGGGATGTAAAATTGAGAGGTTGCAAAATTTTTAGAACTTAAATAGGTGCTTGGATGTAGAATTTTGGTCCTGCAGAGACTGCATTGGGCCACAAAATGTCTAGTGCTGGCCATGGTATATATGGGAATTTATTTCGGATTCAGATAAGCCTTAAGTATGTGAGGAAATAATTATAATAAATAACTGAACTAGTAGAATAATTGGGAGACCTTCCTCAAAATTGGGGTGGAAGTAGAAGTTCAAACTCCTTGAGGCTCTGGCAATCATTTTTCTATGAAATACATTTACAAGACAACAACTATGCTCTATGATGCTAAGCTACAACTAAGCTTTATGATGATAGCCTGAAGTTTTTCAGATACTGCAAACAAAAGGCAAAATTTCTCAGTTAATAGAATTTGTGGAGAAATGGTAATAAATGAAGATGCTATAACAGAAGGTTTTCATTGTGATGGCAATGTCCCAATTATCAGTCAATTAATGGTCGATGAAATCTGTAGTATAGCTCTAAATCCAGGAAATATACTACCAATAGTGAAGAAAGTGACAGAGAGGATGTTGAGAAAGAAAAATTTTCGACTGACAATTTAGTGGGAATTCTCAATGCAAGACTTGAACAATTGTACAGTAGAAGTCCATTAGTCCGGAATGCCCGATAGTCCGGCATCGCTCCGGAAAATTGTAAAAATTTTGGTTTTCTCCAAAAGTGTGTCTTTAAAGCAAATAAAACCGCTTGAGAGCTATTCGGAAGTTTTCGGCGTAGTTCGAGATCATCCGGAAGCGCTCGGTATTGTTCGGAAACAATTAGCGGCCGGCTAGTCTCAGCTGTCACAACAAATTCAGGTGCAGTGCAGCTCTGTTAATCAGTGCTGCACTGCACTGACAAAGTGTCTTCGCCACTTTTTTGTGCGTTGTTGTTTTGTGTCCTTTCACATCGCAGTAAACATAACTTTTGAAACTGTTTATAAAAAAAGTGATTTTCGTTCTAACTGTACAGTGACCATGTTTTCAAAACCTAAGCCTTCGAGTTCAAAAGGAGAGAAACGAAAACACGTAACACTGACCCTCAATCAGAAACTAGAAATCATCAAACGGCTAGAAAAAGGCGAGAATAGAAATGTTTTAATGAATGAGTTTAATATTGGCTCATCAACTATTTATGACATTAAAAAACAAAAAGATGAACTAATGAAGTTTGCTTCTCAATCGGTAACAACTGAAAAATTGGCTTCTAGACAAACATTAAAAAAACCAAAACTGGAACAGCTAGATAGTGTATTATTCAAATGGTTTAGTGCAGTACGTTCTGAAGGAAAACAAAAAGACATTCGTGACTTTTTTAAATCTAAGTGAAATATGTTTTACAGTACGTGTACATACATTATATGAAATGTAAAATAAACTTTGTTGTATGTATTTGCATACTGTATTTTTAGTTTAATTATTAACCTAATTGTTCTTATAATTACCGCCCAATAGACCGGAATTTTCGGTAGTCCAGCACCGAGCCGGTCCCGAACGTGCCGGATTATCGGACTTCTACTGTACTTATTTTTTTTAAGGTCATAAAAGCTCCATTGTTTCATAAGTCACTATTTCATATTTTTAGTGTTATATTTTCTAGATGTCATCTTACTAAATTTAAACTGAGGATCTAATATCTGGAAAAATCTCAAATCCGGAATTGTTGAAATCTTAAAGCATCTGGATCTCAGACTTTGTACTGTACTTTCTTTAAAAAAATATCATATTATTAATTTCAGCAGCTGTAATGCATTTGAAAAAGGGTTATTTGATTTTTCCTTTTCTTCCAAAGAAATTTTTTTTATATCTATGTAGAGATAAAGAAAGCTTTAAGCAATATCATGTAGAAATTATGTGATTTATCTTTGTATTTTTTAAAATTATACCTTGGTCATTTCATGATAATGAAGTTATGAGATTTATCTTAGTCATTGTGTAGAGAATATCATTGACATCGAAAAATATTACCGACTAGTTCATCTTTAACAATAAAGCCATTGGAATTTGAAAAACCAGCAAATGATGACCTGTGCTGGAAGTCTCTGTGTTTCCAAATATCGTAACTTGCCATTATGCCCAAATATTATATTCTTTATTTTCATACTGAAATCTTTAGACATCAGCTTATATCTTTTTTTTTTTTTATTTTTTTTTCCCATCAACTCAGCTGTTAAAAAAGAAACTAATTGCTGGTAGTTTTGTTTTGGATTAGATTTTTAATAAAATGAGTTAATTACATATTTTTTTCTTTGTAAATTTCCTTCATGTGAACCTAAATGTGATCAATTATTTCATTGTTAATTTCAAAACACTACAGTTTGATACAAAGTAAAAGCCGAAATATGATATAAAAAATATCTCCACTTATTTTATTTTCTATACACAAACTGTAATAGCACTGTAATTAATGGTTACTGTACACAAACTTTCTTCACGTATTTACTTTTCTCTGTTCTTTTATAAATAAGTAGTTTTAATTTTCATACATTTTAAATTTCAAAGTATATTTTAATTGTGTTTATTTATGTTTTATTGAACTGATAATATTTTTATTGAAACTTTATTATTTTTGTTGAATTTTATATGTATATGCATCATAAATGGAGAAAAATTAAATAAGATATCTGTGAACACTTTGAAAACATTTTCATATTTTTAATTTCATATATTTTATTTTATATTTTACAGTTTTTTTTTTTTACTTTTTAAGTTCATATTTATTTTAGGACCCAGAAATATTATGTTGGGATGTACGGAATTTGGGTTCGGTGTTGTACTGTATGCGGAGATCATGTTTAACTCACCAACGGATGTACTTTGATTTGAGCAAGTAATACACTTTTCTTTTTTCTTATTAAGTGCTTAAAATTTCTTTAATAATTTGCTTAAAATTTCTTTGTTTTTGCACATTGTTGGAAAATTAATATCAGTTCAATTTCTATATTAAAATGATGCTTGACATAAATCTGATAATTATACTATAATTTAAAATTCTAATACAAAATAACTCTAAATTAATGATTGATCATGTGATCACAAGTGAACACATTTAAAAAAATTCATGAAGTTCTCTCATTCAAAATGGTTTTTGCAATCCTATTCAGCTGTATAGTGTACTTGGATATCACAAATTTTATGTTTTCTTTGCTTACTGAATTTATCGTACTAAAAAGTAACACTAAAAGGTAAGTAAAATGTAATATACTATTTTGTTTTTAATTTAAATTCATGCTTAATATGTGTATGGACCATTTTCTATTAGAAAATTTGATGTATTAGGATGTAAAATCTAGGTGGAACAGTAGAAAAAGTACTCGTTTTTGAGTAGAGACTGTGGACTTCAACAGCATGAGACTTGAATTCATTTTGATTAATTAACAGCTATATATGCTCTTTCCTCAAGGAAAAATGGGATATTTTAGGCATCTGGAGAATATGCTATATCACATCATTAATACCAGATGAGCAGTTTGTGTTGCTGAAAAACTAGTGCTACTTCTCATCCCAGTGTGATTTTGAGCCACTTTTCTTTGCTTGGTATCATCCGATATGTGGAATAATTCTTCATTAGATGTGATCCAATTTTTATTCCTGGAACTGCATATTGTTCAGTATATTTTTCAGCCTTAATCCTTTAGTGTACCATTATACTCTTGTATGGCAAAATTAAATAATTTATTGATTTTCGTTGACCTATTTTTAAAAATAGACCTATTTTTAAAATAAATAAGACCTATTTTTTATGGGTAAAGACCTATTTTTTACGAGTGTTTCAACTGAGTTTCCTTTTATAGATTGATTTCAGTATTTGTTTTCTTCCGTGTTTTGTTATTATTTTTTTAAATGTATAGATGATGTTATAATCTCATGATGATGATGTTATAATCAGATGATGTTATAATCTCATTATAATCTCATGATGATGTTATAATCTCATGATGTAATATTAATAAGTAATCATTGAATACATTTTCCAGTTTTTTATTGCTTTACTCAAAGCATGGTTTGACAAATCCTTTCTCTAAAATTTATAAAATATTTTGTTTTAAGCGTGTACAGTTTTTTTGTTAATAGTTCGTTTTGTGAAGTTATAAAAAGGGCTAATCTGAATCTCTTAAAATTGAGCATTTTAAGATAAGTATAAAACATGACTCAAGTTTCTTCATCATTGTAGATATGTGCTGTTGTCAGAATTGCAGCATGTATTATTATTTATTCATATTTATTATTATTTCATTGTTTAAAATTTGATTATGGCAGAGCCTTCGAGGACTGTCTACCTAAAGCAAGAGTGGCTAATCTTTATGGGAAGAGTTCCGCTATCTGGGGGAAAAAGCTGTGCGTGCCACTTCCAACTTTTCTAGCATAACTATTGTTAATAAGCATTTTTAAAGATTCAGTCAGCTGGGTTATATATTAAATAAAAATGAATAATTTGAAACATTTAATTCTAAATAACTATTCAACAGTCAGCACTTAATTAATGTGATTTTTGAATAGGTAGTTTTTTTTACCAAGTCATCTGTTTTACGATTAGTTCTTGAAGATGCTAATCAAATTAAGTGTTTAGCTACATATCAGTTAATCTTGAATGATATTTTGATTTTTTGTTCATAATAGGAAAATTTGTTCACAAACATACATTAATCCAAACCTACAACAATTTTTGACAGCCAAATCATGTAAATTTTGAAACTTGCTTGTTGGTACAAATTTCCGAAATTTTAATATACCGTAATTTCCGGAAGAAACGCTGCGGCGTTTACATGTTTAAAACTTAAATTTTCAGCGGGTGCGGCGTTTCTACCCATGCGGCGTTTAGGTGCACTAAAAATAAAATATTTCCTATGATGGTCATTGCACATAGTTTGGATGGCCTTGTCATTGTGCATAACTGGTGCTGTTCCCACACAAAAGACCACTCAGTTGCTTTTTGCGAACTTTATTTTGTTTACATTCTTTCCCTTGAACGGACCTACATGCCTTATTCACCCTAAACGAGATCTCAGAACAATAACATTCTTCCCCCTTTCAAATCAACATTCTTATCAGTTTGAATAGTCTCCCTCCTCTGCCATTCGATGAATCTTCCAGGACCCATCCTCTCCCCACCCCTGCCTTTTCTGCAATTTTTTTCAAAGGTGGACGCGACTCCACCTGCCTCGCAATAACGAACTCTGACGTATTTCCTCTTCAGCATGAATGGATTTTTCTTGGCATTCTGCCAAATACAGATCCCATCAGTTTGGGTACAGGTACTTGTTGGATAGTTTTTAAGTAAGAAGGGAGCGGAAAATTTTTGAAAATGTCTAAACGGCACAGAAGCTATACATTTCTTACCTTTAATTTATTTTTGAGTTATGGTTTCATTTCATGCATTTTCTTAAACTGGTATGTCATATATCAGGACTTACGTTGAGTTTTTGCATCTATACGGCCCACGACGATGTCACGCGCAATTTAATCTATTGCGGCGTTTCTGTGTAATTTTAATTTTTTTCCCGCCATTTTTCTGGAGTGCGGCGTTTACACTGATGCGGCCTTTCTTCCAGAAATTACGGTAATTCGGATCACCTGTAGTTGAAATAAGTTCCTTAAATTTGCGTTTCAGTGTAGTATGCTGTTGTAGGTCAATAATTTCGTTTTGGATCTCAGTTGGGTAACAATTAACGTCTTGCAGAGAAGTAGAATTATTATATTTATTTTAATGTGTTTACCTACTGACAAAATTCATATAGATGGAAATACTATTTTTTCAAATCTTTAAGTTTTAAATAAGTTTTTGCATGTTAAAACTCCTCTGTGCCACAGCTGCAGACTGTTGCCTTTGTGGATGACTTTCATAGTGAAACTCTCCGTGCTTCAGCTGCACATTGGTGCCTTTGTGGAGGATTTTCATTAGCGAAACTAGATAGTATACATGTTTGTTACACATAGGGAAAACTATGAAAATGCCCAAGCAGCCAGCCCATTCGGGGATTCGAACCTCAGACTCACTGTTCAGCGACTTTATTACTCGGGTATTGGTGGGCCTCTGTTTTTCATAGTCATAATTATTATTTCATTATTTAGTCATATTCACTATTATTGCATTCATGCAATTTATTATTTAGTTGTGAATATTCATAAAATTTCGTATTTTTTGTAATTGTTAGTTTATTTATAGTAGTTTAACTTTTGTTCCTTTTATGGAAGATTTTCAATTATTTTCAACTAATTCATATTACAACATTTCAGAAGTTCAAATATGTTAATATTTGTAATTTATGCAAACATTTTTGTTATATCTGGAAGAAATTCTTAGGTGCTCATGTTACAGAAAGTTATAACTTTTAAATTATTTGAACTTGTTTTCTACATTAAACTCTTATTTTTATTTTAGATCTGGGCGCTACATTGTTTCTGGTAATTATAATGGAATTATTTCTGTTTGGGACAGTTTGAAGGAACCCATAACTGGAAATGCAGATGATTTTGATGTTTTAGAACCAATACAGTTCTATTTAGCTCACGAAGACTGTGTTAATGGAATTGGGTAATTTCCCCCTCTTCTGTCACAAAATAAAAAATTAGGATTGAATATAATAATGTACATTTTTAATTCGGTCAGAATTAGTTATGCCAATCTATATGCTATTAAAGTGATTATTAGTTTAAATAATCGAATTTCCATAGTTTTAAAATTTTGGTAAATTCAGTTTTGTAACTAAACAATATTAATTTTAGTAATAACAATTATTTGAGTACTTGGTAAAGTAATTCTCAAAATTCATTCTTGTAAAGGTTCTATTTAAACAACAATGAACCAGGAATTTTCTTTAATTTTTAGTTTTGAAAGTATCTTATATAAGATTTGCTAATAGTAAATGAAAGTTTCAAAAGATATTTATTTCATATTCTCTGATATTAATATTAAATAATAAGATAATTATTCCAACATTTTGCCAATGGAGGATATGAATTAGTGTCTTTCTTTCTCAAAAAAATGGAAGACGTAAATCAATATTTTTCATTTGTATTAAATATTTAATTCAGTCATTGTTTTTCATGAATCAGCATTATTCAATTTTCAGTCATCAAAGGTGTAATGCACTAAAGTCTGTTTTGTCCATACAGTATTGTATTTTGTTACTTTATGTAATCATTGTATTTTGTTACTTTATGTTTGTTATTTTCCAACAGGATTAGCTAAGAATAATACCCAAAAACCAACAAGAGAGAGGAAATACCCTTGGAACATTCTTTGAGGTGTTCTCCATCAAAATAAAGATGGAGCTGCACAATTAGTGTAATAGGACTATACCTGTATAACCAAAGGGTGAAATTCTGGTATCCCACCCTCTTGTTCCTGTGCCTGGTAAATTACAGTAAAGGACACATAAAATTCACCCATTAGTAAGTAATAATGCTAGAAGTTCCAGGTGGTAATCCTTAATCTTCTTTTTTCTGGCACTTTATTTGCCAATTCAAGAAGGGGTTTTATAAATCTAAATTTCCTTGTATGCATCGCTACAAGCACATAAGTGAATTGCATTGTTCTATTAAATTGTAAGCATAACCAATTTAGTAGAACAATGCAATAATGGTGCAGAAATTTCCATTTGTAGTGCAATGATCCGATGCCAGAATAAGTTTCTTGTCGTTGCACAATATTAGAACGAAATCACTATCCCCAGAGTACATGCCTGCAGCATCATAAATAATTTGTTTTATGCCCGGTTTCCTGTAAATACATTCAAGAAGGAACCTTATCTTGTTTAATGCATCAGTCTTTTCCTGTACTAGTTTCTATTTTTTTTTTTTTTTTAATGATTCCAGAGTTTCACCACCATATTCCAGAGTCTATATGAAATAGCAAAAGGCAATTCCCTCCCCCCTACAAAGTTGATCAGGGAAAAATTCACTAGAACTATTGTCATCTCATTAGCAATCTGAGCATCATTTTACATATGGAAATAAACATAATTCACAAGTTTATTTTCAGATGTAAAATGAGGCAGAGATTGCTAATGAAGATGACAATAGTTCTGGTAGTTATAGTGAATTTTCCCTTGATCAACTTTGTAAGGGGAGGGAGGGAATTGCCTTTTGTTAAGTCATATAGATTCAGGAATCTGGTGGTGAAACTGGAATCATAAAGAGATAATAGAGACTACTACAGAAAGAGACTGATGCATTAAACAAGATAAGGTTCTTTCTTGAATGTATTTACATAAAATTGGGCATAACACAAATTATTTATGATGCTGCAAATATTTCTGAAGTTGTAGGCATGTTCTCTGGTGATAGTGATTTCATTCTAATGTTGTGCAAGGACAAGAAATGTATTCTGGCATCAGATCAATGAGCCACAAATGAAATATTTTAGTCACCATAAATGAATTGCAGTGTTCTATTAGTTGGTGATGCATAAAATGCAATTTACTTACGTGCTTGTAGCAACACTTACAAGGAAATTTAGATTTATAGGCAATTGAATTGGCAAATAAAGTGCCGGAAAAAAAAAGATTAAGTATTGCCACATGGAACTTCTAATGTCTTTTATTGTAATTGACCAGGCACAGGAATAAGAGGGTGGGATACCAGCATTTCACCATTGGTTATACAGGTATAGTCCTATTACACTAACTATACGGCTCCATCTTGATGGAGAACAAACACCCCAAGGAGGATTCCAAGGGTCTTTTCTTCTCTCTTGTTGGATTTGCTTTCATGTCATTCTTAGCTAATCCTGTTGGAAAATATCTGACTTCAAATCTTAGTTTTAAAGTATATCACACACTTTGATCAGAAACTTAATGGTTTTATTTAACAGCAAAAACTTTCAAGGATGAAAAAATAACATCAAGACAGAACAGAAACATTTCTCAACTAAATCCTAAAAGTGAAGCAACAACCTGTGATAGAGTTTCCTATGCTAAAAATCTAAGCCTATCGATTTTGAGGGCAAATAAAGCCCCTCTTCATCTGCAACTGAAAAACCAAGTTACGGACATATTTATACCCCAAGGAAGTTGAGAGAGAGAGAGAGGAGAGATTAGCGCCATCTGTTAGTAGAAATAATAACGAAAATTGAAAAATTAGGATAATACAGCATAAATAATATGTTAGATTTGATTAAAATCATTAACTAAACATGGTAAATTTCGGTGAGCGTGAAAAGCTTTCTGGATAATTTTTGCAGATCCATAGTCAAAACTGTGATTAAATTTCCAAATATGATCAGCAATAGAAGACTTGTAAATTTCACCTTTTCAGACATAAATTTCATGTTCCTTTAATGCAAAACTTTAACCCTCTTTTGGTTTGGCTGATATATCTCGAACCACACTGACAAGATATGCTATAAATTCCCCAAGAATTGAAGTCAGAAATAGTATCTTTAAGAACTGAACCATGGATCTTATTGATAGGTGAGAAAATAACTTGGAAATTGAACTTCTGGAGAAGTCTTGCAATTTTGTATAAAGATGAAAGGTAAGCACGACTAGGTTATTAACATTATTTCTCTCAGCGGAATGCTTTCTTGTATGCAAAGAGGAAAACGTTTTAAGAGTTTTATCAATGACCATAGGAGAAAATCCTCTGTCAGTGGCAACTTGGCTCAAATAATTGAGTTCATTATCAAGTAGAGATTCAGAGAAACAAACTTGAAAAACACGAAAAACATGATGGTAAAAAGAAGCCACTTTTTGTTTAGTCATGAGGCAAACAAAGAGAAAAAGAGTTTATGGTAAAGGTTGGTGTTGAAATCGAATTCATTGCAAATCACAAGAATATCAAGGAAAGGAAGAGTATTATGAGATTCAAATGTGTACTGGATGGATGGGTCAATCGAATTAATAATAGATAAAATATAAGTCTTCTTTGTTGCCATCAAAAAGCCAGAAAGTGTCATCAGGGTAGCGAATCCAGAGACAAAAATCTCTCTCTCTGGATTCGCTACATTGACATTTTTGCGCTTTTCGGTGATAACAAAGAAGATTTATCACATATTTTATCTATTATTAATTCGATTGATCCATCCATCCAGTTCACTTTTGAAACTGAATCTGATAAATACTCTTCCCCCTTCCTCGATATTTTTATGATCTGCAATGCATCCGATTTCAACACTACCGTTTACCGTAAACCCTTTTCTCTTTGTTTGTCTCCCAACTATGTTCCTCTGAATCTCTACTTGATAATGAACTGAATTATTAGAGTGCAGTTGCCATTGACAGAGGATTTTCTCCCATCGTCATAGACAAAGCTCTTAAAAGTTCTCCTCTTTGCACTCACGAAAGCATTCCACTGAGAGAAATAATGCTAATAACCTAGTCATGATTACCTTTCATCTTTCTACAAAATTGCAAGAATTCTCCAGATGTTCAATTTCCAAGTTATTTTCTCACCTATCAATAAAATCCATGGTTCAGTTCTTAAAGATACTATTTCTTACAGAACCATAAGTCTACTGGAATTGAATCGAGCCAGACTGGACTGGAACCCATCCATGACTAAACAAAAAGTGGCTTCTTTTTACCATCATGTTTTTCATGCTTTTCAAGTTTGTTTCTCTGAATCTCTACTTGATAATGAACTCAATTATTTGAGCCGAGTTGCCACTGACAGAGGACTTTCTCCTATGGTCATTGATAAAGCTCTTAAAAAGTTTTCCTCTTTGCATACAAGAAAGCATTCCGCTGAGAGAAATAACATTAATAACCTAGTCATGCTTACCTTCCATCTTTATACAAAATTGCAAGAATTCTCCAGAAGTTCAATTTCCAAGTTATTTTCTCACCTATCAATAAGATCCATGGTTCAGTTCTTAAAGATACTATTTCTTACAGAACCATAGGTCTACTGGAATTGAATCGAGCCAGACTGGACTGGAACCCATCCATTTGGCCATCATTCCCTCAGAGCTCCTTCGGCAGACTAGCTTCACCATGCACCAATCAAATTTGGACCCCGTTCATGCAAATATTTAGCATCTTCTCACCTAAGAAGGGGGGGGAACTTGCATAATAAAATAAAAGAGAAAAGCAATAGAGCTTTGATTAATATGACAGTCTGTCTAGGGTAGTCAGTTTTACCTGACCAAGTTGCAGTCTCAGGTCTCAATATTTATCATCGTCGACGGTAAGTTTAGGATCCGATACCAAATCTTCTTGTACTTCCTTCTGTAGCTTTATGGCTGCATCATTTTGCATTACCTCCAAGGGATACAAAGCTTGACGGCAAAGCATAAGAGTATAGCTCCTGACTTGGTTTGGTCGCTTTGGAGAATAAAAGTCTCCTGACTTGGAAACTGTTCTATTGCATTTTTCTTGTTTATTTGTGTAAAAGAATATATGGTGCTTTTTACCACATGTAAAGGGAACAGTTTTGAGTTTACACTTCCTAACAGAATGTCCTGATTATGTAACAACAGCATGTCATTTGAATCAAAGCATAACTTTCAAATAATGATAAATTATGCGCCTGGTAACACCCTGAAGAACCAGATCTATATTTCAAAAAAAATATACAGCTTTTTCTGCCTTCACG